TCTATCATGCTGGATTTTGAAATTTTTATCATACTATACTATGACATTTTTGTCATACTAAAATTGGAAACTTTTATTATGGTATACTATGACATTTTTATCATACTATAATATATTTTTTTTCAAAAGTTATCCCCTCATAGGTACTTATTATTAGAAAGCTGAATCTGCAGCCAGAAGTCCCAACAATAGTCTACTTTCAGACTGATGTACAACTTTCCGCGACATGGGCTTCGTCCGGCAACAGCGCCCCTTTGACAATTAGGGCTTTTTGCAAGTGCCTACAAATGGCCTCCTCTAAACAAACCATTTACATGTTTGATGTTATTTCTCTGTCAGTCTGTTGAATAGAACTTAATGAAGACCATATCAAAAATTCATCTGCTTAGGTCAAAGGGCGTGGCCATGGCGTTCTTACAAACTCTGACGTCGTTTCACAGTAAATGTCCTACTACACTCACAGGCGGTCACAAGTACCGACCATCATAAAGTTTAGGGCTGCTGTGGAGAGCATGGCAGCGGCGATGGCAGGCCGTGTGAAATGGTGGCAGTGGGCTGAGGCGGCGGTTTACAGAGGTAGCGGTGTGACACTGCACGGGCCCGTTGGTGCCACACTGGGCGCTGGTTGTTGTTGTATTTATTGTTGCCTCCAGTCTCACTCGTGTATCTGCGTTTGAAAAAAAGGGTAAAACGGTACGTGCATGAGGACACAAGTTTCCTCTTTGTTAACAAAATACTTTCTATCTGCCATATAATGTTACAACTCTGTGTGTGTGTCTGTGTGTGTGTGTGTTTGCGTAATGCCTTTAGCAGAGGAAGCTACATGCCAAATGCCAATCATGTATCTGTGTGGTATGTAAACACTGACAGCACACACCTCGTTTGTTCTGGCCTCGTCCCAGCAGTCAGTGTGTGAAACTGGATTACAATGAACCAGGGTGTGACTTTTCTTTATAGGCCTGTCCATCAGAGCGCCGCTCAAGAATTTAAATTGCACGGTAAGCTAACCCCCCATTTCATCTCCTGGTGAAATGATTATTGAAAGAATCAAACCTGATCTCCTCCTGATATTGTTCCTGCTGTCGGAGAAGTCGGGAAGGTTTTTCTCAGACAACAAAAAACTTTTTACGATCAGAATATCAGAACAACTGCTAGTGTCAATGATTTAATGTCCCTGCAGGTTTCCTTTCCTTGACATTTCTGCAAACAAATATCTTCATAAAGAACAAGTTATAAAGTAAACACAGACGAGTTTCCTATTGATGCTACGATGATCAGGAAATAGGGCTGTCATGATTTTAAGATTGTCCGCCCACTGAAATAAAAGGCAAAAGTCAAAAGGAAAGGAAAGGAAAGGAAAGGAAATAAGGAAAGGAAAAAGAAAAGGTTACCCCGTAGAAGAAGTAGACTTAAGTCCATCCTGTACCCTCCACAGACGCCTACACACCGACACACACCTCCTCAAAAATCTAACTGCTCAGTGATTGGACGTCAACTTGTCTTCCCTTTAATGAAGGAAAAAAGGAGAAAATTGAGAAGTGATGTGACGAGATTAAACTCATTTAGTTTTTAAATAATGAAGTCAAAATAAAAGTGAAAAATTCATTTTGTGAGAGCGCTGTCTTTTACGCTGGTGGTCCAAGAGAGGAGAGAGAAGCAGCTGCTGTTAGCGAGTTAGCTTTAGCATCGCTCTGAGCGAAGATGACGAACTTTTAAAAACTGAGATTTAAAGATTTTCACTGAATCTAAAAACAACGTGAGAGTCTGAGCCTGTCCCAGTGACTAAATCAATCAAACGGTCGTTCTTTGAGGCTGTTTGATTTCATCGTTTTCATCCAGAGCTGCAGTTTACGATTTCTATTTCAAAATAAAAGCGTAACAAACAGTCCATTTCTGAGTACAGAGAAGTTGCAGTCTCCTGGGTTTAGACGTGGATGAATCATTAATCTGAACTTCATAATAAAAGGTGAGAAATGTAAGTTAATGTTAATAAAGTTTATTTAAACATTGTTGGATTTTGGCGGCAGAAAAGTGAGTATTTTTATCGGAGGAGCGATTTTTCACCAGCTGATGGCACAGTGATCCTAAAGACGGCGGCCACAACCAAAAAAAACCTAAATATGTACCTGAAATAATCCTGCAGCTCTGACTGAATAAAAATAAACTCATTTATTTCTACATAGAGAAGCAGACTGAGCACAAACGGAGTTAAATTTATCCTTAAAATGAAAGCCTCCGTAAATGGCTCAGATTTGTTCTCCAGAATTAAAATCACGTTTATCGGAAAGCTGAAGCTCTGTTCCTGTCTCAGTCGGATTACTGACTCTCTGTGCGACTTTCTGTTCAAACTAACCAACTAACAACCAAAACACTTTGATAGAAATGACCGCCGAGAGTTAAAATCAGAAAAAAACTCTGATTTTATTTTGAAAGTTTTTCTTTTTCATTTCAATCATTTTATCGTCTCAAGTGCGTCTACATGTTTTAGGTTTAGTAATAGATTCATGTCAATTAGAGTGTGTATTTTAGCTCTGTGTGTGTGTGTGTGTGTGTGTGTGTGTGTGTGTGTGTGTGTGTGTGTGTGTTTGTCGCAGCCAGCTTCCTGCAGTCTGCATCACAGATGGGCGAGCGACTTGATACCCTCCTTAACTGAAGACGTGTCGGAGAGAGAACAAAAAGAACGACAGAGCATCACAGAAAGTGAGAAAGAGTGTGTGAGAGCGTGTGTTACAGTGTGTGTGTGTGTGTGTGTGTGTGTGTGTGAGAGACAGAGAGAGAGAGAGAGAAAGAGAGAGAGAGAGAGAGAGAGGATGAACAGACATCAGTGAAGATGTGGGTTTAACTTCTTTGCATCCTTACGATCACTGCAGCAGCAGGGACACACAGGGCGTTCGTGTGTGTGTGTGTGTGTGTGTGTGTGTGTGTGTGTGTGTGTGTGTGTGTGTGTGTGCAGAGCAACGCCCTCGGCCGTTGGAGGTGAGAAGAGTTAATCCGGAGTTAAATGATCTTGCACTTTACAAAATACACGACAATTACACAGATAATTATACTCCGACTTCACACACAGCCCACGGGTCACAATTAACACAGGCTCACACACACACACACACACACACACACACACCTGGCAGGTGTGGCCCAGACCGACTGTTGAGCAGCAGAGTGTGTGAGCCTGTTAAAGTCTGAATAAAAATGATTACAGATAATAAAGTTCTCCGACTGAATCAAAATGAGTTTTTCTCTCTTCCTTTCATTCCGCAGACCAAGTATCTGACTCTAAATATTGATCCACATTCAGCTCCAGGTATGACCCTGATCATTAGACCCTGAAGACCTGAACCTGGTTTAGAAAAGTGATAAAACAAGATTTTGTTTTTAACACCTTTGAATGAACGTGTTTCAGTAACTCTAAACTTTAACATCATCAGCCCTGTGACTAATAACAATCATCAGTTATGCTTTTATTTTGAAATTCTTTGTGGTCATGTCCGCATCGTCAAACCATGCTTTTATTTTGAAGTTGACTCCCTCTGCTCGATGGTGAGTCACTGGACTGAACGAAAACAGTTCAGCTCTGATTTTGTTTTTTGACTCGTGAAAAATCTTCAGGTCAGTTTTTATCATTTCTCAGAAGGATGCTAAAGCTAGCTCGTTAGCTGCTGCTGCTTCTTCTTCATCAGTTGTTCACCTTTTCAGCATAAAAGTCTGTTTCTTTAAAGTCACAGTATGACCACAGTGTCATTTTAGCGCGGCGTGAACCGGGCAGGAGCCTCGACCGATGTGAAACAGTCAGAATAGAGACGTTTACATGAAGGTGTTTACATGAAATTTACCTCTCTGTTAGTTAGTTAGTTAGTAAGTTTGTTTGTTTGTTTGTTTGTTTGTTTGTTTGTTGACGTTTACCTCTCTGTTAGTTAGTTAGTTAGTTTGTTTGTTTGTTTGCTTGTTTGTTGACGTTTACCTCTCTGTTAGTTAGTTAGTTTGTTTGTTTGTTTGTTTGTTGACGTTTACCTCTCTGTTAGTTAGTTAGTTTGTTTGTTTGTTTGTTTGTTTGTTTGTTGACGTTTACCTCTCTGTTAGTTAGTTAGTTTGTTTGTTTGTTTGTTGACGTTTACCTCTCTGTTAGTTAGTTAGTTAGTTAGTTAGTTTGTTTGTTTGTTTGTTTGTTTGTTTGTTGACGTTTACCTCTCTGTTAGTTAGTTAGTTACTTAGTTAGTTAGTTAGTTAGTTTGTTTGTTTGTTTGTTTGTTTGTTTGTTGATGTTTACCTCTCTGTTAGTTAGTTTGTTTGTTTGTTTGTTTGTTTGTTGACGTTTACCTCTCTGTTAGTTAGTTAGTTTGTTTGTTTGTTTGTTTGTTTGTTGACGTTTGTTGATGTTTACCTCTCTGTTAGTTAGTTAGTTAGTTTGTTTGTTTGTTTGTTTGTTTGTTTGTTTGTTTGTTGACGTTTACCTCTCTGTTTTCGTGGCTCATCACAGAAACTTTGTCGGAGTTTTGCGACAGTAATGATCGCCGCAGACGACCCCCTTAAGGCTGATGGTTAACGAACTCCCAGCAGGCCTCAAACAGCTAATACACCCCCCAGGGACACACTAATGATTGTGTGTGTGTGTGTGTGTGTGTGTGTGTGTGTGTGTGTGTGTGTGAGCTGTTGTATACTGTACATACTGTCCACATCTGCAGGTGTGTACTGTTTACTCCACTTTGGTCTCTTTTGCTCGCTGTAACCAGGTGTGTGTGTGTGTGTGTGTGTGTGTGTGTGTGTGTGTGTGTGTGTGTGTGTGTGTGTGTGTGTGTGTGTGTGTGTGTGTGTGTGTGTGTGTGTGTGTGTGTGTGTGTTGTTAGTAATTGTCTCCTCTGGACCACCTGGACCCGCAGTTCGGCGTCCATCATTATCCAAACCACAGCGATGTCATCAGGGACATCTTTAATTAAGTCATGTGATACTCGACTCCTCGCCGACCGAGAGCGTCCAATGATTTAACTGTAAACACTTTGATAATGAGTGGGGGTTGTGTGTTAGCGCCACCTGTTGGGACACCGTCTCGATTTCAGCTCAGGTACCGCTCACCTGCGGAGGTTCGAATCCCTTTAACTCAACCGCAGGAACTCATTTACAGTTCATGTTTCCAGTGGGGACATTTAGGGACGAGCACTTCAGAGTTTATATAAGACACTGTACGTCTGTTTCAAAAAACCCATTAATATAGTTTTAAAGCATGACCTTTGACCCTTTGTTAGCCTGAACCGCGAGAGGCTCCTGACACCGAACTGATCCAAACACGCCGTTCTCCAAAAAAAACGCCACCAAACACCACCAACAACAACAACACGATGCGGCGTCAAACAATGGCCGCCTTGTGTGTCGCAGCATGTTTGGCAGGACGGCGTGGAGAAATATGTCGAGGCAACATGTTCGTCCTCGCCGTGGAAGTGAAGTGGACGCCTCCGGTTCTCACAGAGCGAGTCAACTGCAAATGAATCACAAATGACACACAAAAGGCTGTCTGCAACCACAGAACGAGGTCTCACACACACACACACACACACACACTCACACTCACACACACACACTCACACACACACACTCAGTCATATTTAGACCCAATTACATCAACAACTTGTTTTTTCTTCGTCTCCTCAGACTGATGAAGACGTTTCTGTTCACAACACGACGGTGGCGGCGGCGCGTCACACTCAGCAGACGCTCACAAACACATTAAACACTTTGAATCACAAATAACTCACAATATTAAAAACACATTTTTATTATTTATTCAGCTTATTTATTAAAAAAATTGATTTTTTTTTTTATTACAAAACTGAGAAATTTAAAACTCGTCAAACTATTATCTTTTTTTTTTTGCAAGTTTTTTTAAACAAACAAAATTAGCAGAAAAAAACACAAAACACAAAAAATAACCTGAATTACTGTTCAGGTAGAAATACAGATGTTAAACATCCTGAGATAAAGTCGTCACATTACGATAATTAAAGTCATTTTATTGAAAAATAAAGTTCTAACACAGGCCACGTTCACACTGCAGGTTCTGATGCACAATTCGGATTTTTTGTTAAATCCAATCTTTTTTTCTGATTTATATCCACATAGAAAAGAGGCCTGGGTCGGATTAGAACCAATCAGAACTGACCTGTTCACACTTAGATGAAAACATCAGATATGAGTCACAGATGGTAAAAAACCAGAACTGCAGTCTGAGCGTAGACTAAATGAGAATAAAGTCGTTATGTTCAAAGAATGGAGTCGTAATTAAAGGAAGAAAAAACTGATTTTGAAACAAGAATAAAGAAAAAGGAATTTATGAACGTTAATCACAAGAATAAAAGTTGATTATTCGAAGAAAAGGGTCAGAGTTATTTCAAAATAAAAGTCCCCATATTCAAATGAAGGGGTGATTTGTTTTCAGAATAAAACTGTAGTTTTGGCGAACGATCGAGTTTTTAAAGGATGGTCTTTCAGAGGAGATCTCGTTAAACCATCGTTGATTTTTGGACAGGAGACCACCTTCACCGTTCTCCTTTCACAGCAGCTTCACCTGATAAACTAATTACTAAACTTCAACAATAACTAAAGAGGGAAAATGTGGTGAAACCTCCGTTCAGACTCAGATATTTTCGTCTTTTATTGTCTCGGGTTGATTTTCACGTTACAGACGTTACAAACACAGAGATAATCAAACATGGTTTTCTTTAAACTGACAGTTTTACGACCAGGAGAAATATCATGAAACTAAAACGGTCAGTTTTTCTTTAAATAACCGAATAAACTAAAAGGATTAATCAAAGTGAACTCAACAGGTTTACAGATTTACTCCTGAAAACTTCCATCTTAAAAATCTCCTTAAACTTTGGTGAATCCTCCTCGTCTAAAACACCAGATTCAGACCCGCTTTGATGGAAATAAACGGAGTTTAACTCTTTGTTGGAGGGTTTGCGGTCGAGATGCCAGAGTTTGACGTATCGTTGGCCGTCACGTCCCACGCTAATGAGTCTCCATATCACCTAATTGTCCGACAAACTGTTCCTTTAATATCCGCCAGTGTGTTCACAAAGTGTGTGTGTGTGTGTGTGTGTGTGTGTGTGTGTGTGTGTGTGTGTGTGTGTGTGTTGTCTTAATTTATGCAGGATAACACAGGACGCCTTCTGCTGAGCTGCTTCTTCCCTTCACAATAACACACATTTCTCCTCCTCCTCCTCCTCTTTCTTTCACTTCAACCTTCTGTTCTCCTCCTCCTCCCTCATTTCCTCTCACTTTTTCTCCCCCTCTCGTCTCTCCCAGACAACTGTGACTGTTTTAAATCTGACCGCTGATTAGCCCGAATCAATTAAGTCCTCCACGCTGTGTCCAACAGCAGAGCAGCATGGGGTATTTAGAGTATTTAGGCTCCCATTCATCAGGCTCCAGCCTCTTAATCGCCCTTTAATTACAGACTACGACTCTGGGAGCTCAAGAGGGACATTAAGCTCGGCGGCTTTCTCTGCAGAGGGCCCGGGACGCGGGAACGAATCAGGCACTTCTCTCGAGTTGATGTCGTTGTGTCGGCTGATTACAGAGACAATCTCTCCGGACCAGCGTGGAGACGGAGTAATTACACAAATCCACAAACAAGCAGATTAATGTTTAATATTCATGAAACTTAGTCCCGAGGTTGTAAAAAAAACAACCCCTAAATTAATGCAACTCATAAACGAGTGTTTCAAAATAAAAGCCTACAAGAGGATCATTTCTGCAGACAAATATAGAGTAGAAAAACTCGCCAAAGAGAGACGGAGACTCACAAAAGTCACAAGAAGATGTCAAACGTAGCCGACGTGGTTTCAGGTCAGGATGGCTGCAGGAAGCTGGATGGGTGTGTTTGACCTTTCACAATAAAACCCCTTAAAGGAGCTGAGATCTTAGTGGCGACCATGGACTGTATCTAGAATAGACACTGTCTGCCTCCTCTCTCTGAGAACAGCGCCCTCTGGTGACGGGCTGCAGTATAGGTCCTAAACCCCGCCTCCTTATGGAGCTGTGGACAAACTTTATAAATGAATGACACAGAATATAAATGTTTCTCCCCCCTGGTTGTGATGTTGACATGTAGTTACTGTCAGACTGGTTTGTGCTCAAGTCCTCTTTTTTCTGTACAGCTCCATTTTTAAAAGTTATTAGGGGGTTCATGTTTTCTATGATTGACACCTGATACAGCCTATGGGAGGACAGAGATTGAGTAGATCACCGGGGGATACGCTGTTTGAGCCGAGCGTCATCACAGAGACTCTCCCGCTGAATGAGTAAATACAGTCTGTGGTGGTGACGCTCTGGAGGATGTAGAACATTCTAGAATATCACCGAACATTCCGTAACATCAAAGACATTCTAAAAGATCAATAACATTCTATAACATCAAAGACATTCTAAAAGATCAGTAAGATTCCGGAATGTTTCAGAAAATTTTGGACTTTTGGAAACATACTGGAACAGTCCAGGGGGTTCATGTTTTCTATGATTGACACCTGATACAGCCAATGGGAGGACAGAGATTACATATCTGTTAGGGTGGTTTTCTTCAGCCGGTCATGTCAGCCTTTAGGGTGGTAAAGCTGTGTCACTCAGAAACTTTGGTGCTAGATTTCTGGGCCTCCGACAACCATCCTCAACAAGGACCTTTTACTCATGTTCAACATAATGTCTGGAATGTTTGGAAACGTGGACGACTTTATAAACTTGAACAGTCTCAGTCCAGTCTTTGTTACACTTGTGGCCTGATGAAGCTGTAACAAAGATCTGCGACCGGTAAAGCTCGTCAAAATGATCGTTCCTGTGGACCTTCTGTTCTTTAAAGTGTGAACATGTGATCGGCATCCTTACAGCCGCTCACCTGGAGATCCGCTGTTTGAGCCGAGCGTCATCACAGCGACTTTTAGTCTTTAAATCCGTATACTGGAGGAAGGCGGAACCAAGTGTCCAGAATATTAAACAATCTATGGCGTTGACTAAAGTCAGAGAGAGAACAGAAACGGTCCCTCCTTCATTTTTAAAAATCAGAATCAGAAATACTTTAATGATCCTCCGGGGGAAACTGCTTTTGTCACGATACTCCAGTGCAAATAAAGTAAAAGAGGAGATAAATAATAAGGAAGATATAGAGATAATATACAAGTATTTACAATGCAACACAAATAGTAAAATCGTATGCATGCATATATAATTTATACAATCTTTCTCGGGACCAGCAGACCTTCAGAAATGTTGATCAGACTTTTAAAAAGCTGGAAAGTCTAATCTCTGTTTGTCAAACTCAGTCCCAGAGTAATAATTCAGCTTTGGGAGGATTACATAACGAGAGCGTGGAAACGGAAACAGAGAAATTCTGCGCTGAGATGTCTTCACGTCAAATAAGTGAGAGGTACGAGGAGGAAGTTAAACCGGGCTCTTTTTCCTCGCAGCTATCAGCGTTACTAATCCTCTTTGTGCCGCTCTTGTTCTGCTGTTCAAAGCGACGGCGGGGATAACATCACTTCATTGACAATCTTTGGTCCTGGTTGGTCAATTAGAGCTTGTGGCGGTCTAATCTCCTCCAGGACTTCTCGGGGTTTTCTCTGGAAAGAAGGGAGAGAAAAGCGGAGCCCTTTAATACCGTCTAATGACGTTATGGGAGGAATAGCCCCATGCCGCTGGGAACCTGATAATCCCACTTTGTTCCTTTAGGATTTGTTCGGAAAACTCCCACCTCCTCCCCCCGCCCAGTTGCTGATCCCCTTCGTGTTGCCCCGCCACAAAGGGGCCCCTGCTGTTGGGCCCCGTCCACCTCTTATTCTCCGAACACCTCTCTCATTTGTCGGGCCGCGGCTGGGGGCGCGCACCGTATTATTTTCTCCTCAATTAGCAGAAAGTGCTTGTGCTGATCACTTCCTCTGCCAAGGTGAGCGCACATTCCTGGAAGCCGGTTCACGTGGGTCATCGGGGAGGTTATCGGTGGCGAGCGCTGCACGGGAGCAGAAATGACGCTTCCTCGCCGATCTTGAGGCGTTCTTGGATTCCCTCCTCCTCCTCCCGCCTAAACGCAGCGAACCCGCTCTGAAGCCCCGCTGAGAGCTTCGTGTCACGTCCGTTTGTGGAGGGGGGGCGTAGGCCGACGGCAGCCTGCCCTCCAAAGCTCCTCCCACCTCTTTCAGCCTCATTATGGCGTCTTCTGTTCCAGCAGGCTTTGATGGACCTGTCCTCCCATTTCCGCTGGATTCCCAGGGACTAAACTCTGCCAAATCTTTTAAACCCAGGAACCCCCTCCCTCTCTAAATCCCCCCCCCCCCTCAGTGGTCTCAGGGATCAGGGCGGGACGGTTCAGGAGGGGGGGGTGAGGTGTGAGCTCTAACCTGGAAAAACGACTTGACTGGAGAACTCAAGATGTTTGAGGGGCCGGGGGAAAACCTTCAGAGACCACCTGCTGAAAGACCTGGTAGAACTATCCGACGTATGATCCGGGTCAGAACAAGAGGGCGCTCGGTCTACATTTACCCTCTGAAGAGTCAGACGTTCTGTCGGTCACTTTGTTTACAGTTCATCTGCTCAGCGAGAGGGCGGCTTCTTTAACGTTACAGCGGAAGGAACTCCGGACTGAACTCTGTTTACTTCTTATTCACTAAAACGATGAGGGACTCTGTTTACATTCACTCTAAAGAACTCAGAAGTTTGTTTTTAGACCTAATTTCAACCGTCTAGATTCTTTATATTTTAGACAGAGTTCAGACGTTGCACTTTAACCCTTTATTCGATAGCTATTTATTTCAAAAAGTAACTGTGAGTTACATAACTGATCTCCAAGTACTAAACCAAAACAGCCTGATTTTAGACCTGTCATCTAGGCGACATTTAGACGTCTATGAGACCAAAAAATACTCCAGAAGAGACTTGATTTACTCACGGGCAACGGGTTTGTACTTGACAGAGCAAACAGAACTTATTTTTACACTTTATTTCCTTAAAAGGAACCAGAGAGAGCACTTTGTTTACATGTAATTAACTAAAATTAGCTCTTAGTTTACATTGAATTGACTTAAAACAGGACAGGAACAGGATTGACAGGCACTCTGTTTACATGTAATCCACTAAAAGATCAACCTGAGGGCTTTTGTTTACAACATACTAACTAAAAAACAATCAAAACACACTTAGATCACAATATATCCACTCATAGAGAAACCAGTAGGAACTCTGTTTACATTGAATTTGAACGTTTAAACACAACAATAACGTTTTCATTTGATTTGCCAAAGCAGGAACCACAAAGGCACTTTTTGTTTTACTTCACCCCCAAAAAAATAACCAGGAGGTTTTTGTTTTATATTTATACACCAAGAGGACATCTAGAGGGGACTTCATTTACATTTCACTAGCTTCAAAAAGCCTCTAGAGGTACTTTTCCACTTTATCTGCTAACAGAGTCAACAGAGGGACCGTTGTGTTGTTCACTGAGAGGGCATCCAGAGGGACTCGGCTTACATTTTATAATCCTTAGAAGTAAATTAAGAATATTTTTATTTACACTTTAAAAACAACTCGATGGGCTTTTTTATATTCTATCCACCAAAAGAGAAACCAGAGGGACTTGGCCCACACTTTGAGCTCTGGAAGATCATCGATTGGTGCGTTTTGTCATGTGATTTGTGCTCCATCATAACCAGAGAGGGTCTTTATGTAACCTGATACAAACGCATTTTTGAAGAAGGTACTTAAGTGGTATTTTATCATCGATCAGGCTGCTGTGAAAGTCTAAAACTACAACAGATGAACCGACAGTGAAAGAAGAATGACTTGTGTGTGTGATCAGGACGCCGGCGGTCTGAGCGAAGGTGAAGAGCGCTCAGTGAGGATGGAAAATCCTGAGTGTGTGTGTGTGTGTGTGTGTGTGTGTGTGTGTGTGTGTGTGTGTGTGTGTGTGTGTGTGTGTGTGTGTGTGTGTGTAAATATCTGTGTGTTTGGAGGATGTGATTGTGGGGTAAATGAGGTCCATGTTGACGGAGTTGGAGATGGGTGGAGCCAACACACGTAAAGCCCTGAGCGACAATCTGTGGTGACAACAACACGCTACCTTCATTATCAACTCCTCTCTCTCTCTCTCTCTCTCCCTCTCCTCCCCCTTTTTCTCTCTCCCTCTCTCGCCCCACACCTTCGTCTCAGCAGCCTGCTGAACAGCTGAGGTGTCAAAGCTAAACAAGGCGAGGAAGACGAGGAGGAGGAGGAGGGGAGGAGGGGAGGATGGTGCTGATGAAGGTGGGGGTGGGTGGAGGGGGAGGTGGGGAACTGGGCTGGGTTTGTTTCCCACCATCATCAGACCAGTTGGGAGTGGACGCACACACTTCTGTTGGTCAGAGCATCAGTTTGGAGTCCTCTGGGTCTCTCTCTCTCTCTCTCTGTCTCTCTCACTCTCTCTCTCTCTCTCCCTCTCACTCTCTCTCTCTCTCTCTGTCTCTCTCTCTCTCGCTCTCTTCAGTGTTTACTTCATTACTGGTTGGATTTCTTTGAGCTGCAATATTCAGTAAAATTGACAAACAAGATTTAAAGACTGAAAAAAAAAGTCAAATTTTGAGATTAAAAGTGGAAAGAACGAGATAAAAGGTCAAAATAGTAAAATAAAAAAATTTAATGTAGAAAATCATAATTAAGACATAAAAAGTCAGAACTTTTATTTCTATTATGATTCATTATCATACAGACGAGTTTCTTTTGTAGAAACAATACAAGGTTCACACACAACCATGTGACAAAATCGCTTCGTCTTTTTTTGCATCAAAATCATAAAAACATTTGCTGAAATATCCGTAAATTTCACTCAATTTACCAGGTTGCGACGTTGTTTTGAATGATTCTAATATCAAACATTTTCCATCCATCCTTTTGCAGATTCGTGAAGTTTAAACAAATAAGAAATGTCCGACTTTCTGCCCTCTGGCTGCGCGTGCATACCTGCGATGACATTACACAGAAACCCGTCTATAGATTCAGATTCAGACGATTTTATTTATCCTCTAAGGACAGTTCTGTTCACAGTTACCCTGCCGTTTGATCCGTCCAAACACACAAATCAGCAGACAAACAAACCAGACGAGTGCAGGACCTTAACAGCAGCCAGTAGACGAGCACATTCTCTTGTCAGGACTCACAGATCAGCAGGATCAGCAATAAATAAGTAAATAAGTCCAATAAGCAGTCAGGTTCTACAGAGTAATGCTTAAAATACAATAAGATCCACAGGATAAGAAATCAAACACTCTCCAGTTCAGCTCAGGACACATGTGACCATCAGCCGACTTCCTGTCGTTTAAAAGCCTGATGGCTGAGGGTCAAATAGTTTCTATCTCATAACTTTGACTTTAACCTCAGACTGA